AGAGGGTGCTGCCAGGGGAGGCCGAGCGGTGGCAGGGGTTGAGCAGCCAGGGGAGCGAAGGCGCCGCACCTGTGGTAGAAGAGGAGAACTGGGAAGAGTTTGATGAAAAGGATGGAGTGGAGAAAGGGGACGAGATATGGAGTGGGATGGGGAGAGGATCATACGAGAAAAAGATTAGAAGATGGAAAAGGATGATGACTGAAGAGGAGACGAGGGATGGTAGAAGAATGAATATACTGTATAAAGTGTATATGAAGGATGAGAATTGGAAGGGAGAAGGGATGGGAATGAAACAGGTTAAGGAAGTAAACAGAAGGAAAGGAGACTGGAAGAGATGAGGTGGAGAGGTTGGTGGGGCTGTGGAAGGGTAGTGATGAAGGGTCGACTCAAGTGAAGCAGCATGGCCAGCGGTTCTCATCTTTCCTGGACAGGGATAAAAAGTTGACAAGTTTGGTTATGAAGAATAAAATACATTACAGGGCCAGAACAGTAAATACAATACAAACTAATTCTGTTGGCATTATGAAGCGATAATGCTTACTCCGTGATATTAACTAATGAGCTGCGGACTACCTTCTTTGCGTTCATCTTGGTGCTCTTCTCTGTCGCTGCTCTGACTCCCAACGTGTGGCTGCTACTTTATTGATCTTTCTGGAAAGAAATGTGTATTAATTTGAGGTTTATTTTTCCGTATTTATGGAATATACATTGTGTGTTTCTACAAGTATAATCATGAGAATTAGCAAGGTTACTTTGTGATGGACGGTCAGCAAGAACCGCTGACCGGGGTTAGCAGTTAGGTGGTGAGGCAGTGTTGCACTGTGTGTTTGCTGAGGGTTGTGGCTGAGGTGGCAGGAGGTGGTTTTGTGGTTAGTTGACTCCCGCCAGAGTGCGTTGGTGGCTGATGAAGCAAAGGAAAATAGAGACACAGTCAAGGAAAATGTGTGAGCCATTTAAGTAGTGCTGAGTGTTGAAATGTAAAGGTTTCCCGCCAGAGGTTAACAGAGTGTGAGGCGGGTGGTGCTGGGGGTCACTGGTGTACCCACTTTATCACTTTTTTTTTGCATTGGGATGACATTTGAAAGCGAATCGTGAACAGTATTTTTTTATACATTAGTATACGTTCACAACATAACAACAAATGTTTTGACTTAAAAACAGTAGGTGTTAAATCTTATAGTTTCGAAGGAATAAGAATTACATCTACTTAGGATTATACTGTGCCAGAAGAAAAATGTAAGTTCACATGTACTAGTTGGCGTCTGAGTGTGGGGGTCACCAAGGGGCTTGGTTTCTGTTGTTTACACTAACTTACCTCAGCCAACCTGGGTAGGTAGATTTTCCAGTTATAAATATAAATACTTATTATTATTAGTTATTATTATTATTATTATTATTATTATTATTAGCTGCCTGAGGGCAGTTGTTATTGCTTTTTGTTTTGTTTTTACTCATAGTTTGGGAGAAAAAATATTTGGTGAAAATGTATTTGCCTATTTTACTGTGAATTTAAGTGTACAAGCCTGGTGATAGGTCAAGGTAAAAGAGATCAATATCACAGGTGCTAAAACCGAGATATATTATAATAAGATCATTTATTAATAACTTACTATAATGTACAATTATTTATATAATTTTTTCTTTGAGAACTTGCTGTAATACTTTTTTGGAGGAATATGGACGAAATTTATATCGTGCTAAACTTACAAAACTTATAATTGTTAGTCTGTTTAAACACAAAAGTTTGAATATAGATATTTAGTTAAATTATATCATGGGCATAAAATCATGCATCATCCATAGTAAAAATCTATTGCACAATATTCCTTTTGGTTTAGGTTTATTGCATTACCCACAGTGTACGATACTGTATCCCACTTTCCGTAGCCTAGCCTCAATGGCTAGGTTATGATTTCTGCAGTTGTGTTTCCTCCAGAGTAATACACTGCAAGAGAGAGTTATAATTTTGTTAATTGACTAATATTGATTCGTTGTGCTTGAGGTTGTAGGAAAGAGAAATTTCTTCAACAGATCGTAGCTGACCAACATGAATAGGGCATAGTTGAATATAAGTATCAATTATATTACCACACGTTTTCAGTTTGATGTAAGGTTTTATCGCCCATTTCTGATGTATCGCTTCCGGGTATAACTGACATAGGTAACGATTTCATAATAATTTTAGAACAGTCGAAACTTAATCACCAAAATAACTTTGAAGAGTCGTAACGCAAAACGTAAACAATATTGTCGAGCTTACAGGCCAGTCTATCGTAGCTGTTTTTTACGCTACTAGTGGTCGTGGACATTTATGTAAGTTTACATCATTCACGCCAAAATGCTGATGCTCTGGTTTCTGCTCTCATACAGAAGTTATCAGTGACGATCTAAGAAGAAGCCTCATGTGATTAGGTCATAAGTCGAAATACCAACTGTTACCCTCTGTTGCTGTCATGCAAGTGGTGAGAGCCTAATGATGGATTCACTAAACAGGACAAATAATATACAGTACTGTATGTTGTAATCTACACATTATTTGGAATGTTTTGAAGACAAGGAACACAGTTATTTTTTAACTGTGAAAATATAAAGTTTAGTGTTATTAGATCTATATATAATATATATATATATATATATATATATATATATATATATATATATATATATATATATATATATATATATCTTGATAAATCACACGGGAAAATGGAAATAACGAGCACCTTTTAGCTTTCGTCTAGCAATACGTAACTGAACGAAGTATACTT